TGTGTGTGTGTGTGTGCACCTACAGAGGCCAGAAGAAGGTGTTGGATCCTTTGGAGCTGGAGTTACAGGCTTTTGTAAACAGCCTAACATGGGTGCTAGGACACAAACTGGTCCTCTGCAAGATCAGCAAGCACTTTCAACTGCTGAGCCCTCTGTCTCTCCAGCTCCCAGTGGGTGATCTTAATTTGGTCTTGTGCCCAGTGGCATATCATATCCCCTGCAGAGAGAGGGAGGCAGGTCCTGAGCCTGAGTTGAAAGGGTGCGTGAAGCCTCAGGAGGAGGGGGCAGTTTAGGGCTGTAGCTCAGAAGGCAGACCACTTGTCTTGTGTGCACAAAGTCTTGTGTTCCTTCTTCAGCGCCACAGGAATATGGTGTGGTGGCGCTCAGCTGTACTCCCAGCATCTGGGAGGAGAAACTTAATGCAAAGCTCACCCTCAGACACATAGCTAGAGGAGAGGGGAGTGGTGTGAAGAAGGAAGTTTTCAGTCTCCTTTGCCACTGGACGGTAAACGGACTACCAGCACAGCACCCTCTAGTGTCCGGAACGGTCACTGCATCTTTGCCTGTGGAAAGGTGTTGTAGCCATTACAGCAGTAAGGAAATCTCTGGTGAGTCAGGGCTTCCTTGGTGTGCCAGCTGTTAGTGTGAGCTTAAATCTCCCACTTCTCCATTCAGGTCTGGTGTTGAAGCTTGCCCTAGCTGGAGGCAAAGATAGGAAGACTGTGGAACTGGGTGTCAGTGTCTAGGGGTTTGCCTGCTGATGCCATCGGTCGGGATGTGGGGCAAGGCTCCAAGTTAGAAACAAAATCAGCGGCCATTAAATGCCACTGAAATTGAGTTTAAAACTTCACCTGACATAACATTAAGAAATGCAGATTTACACAACAACGTAGAATGTTAGTTAATTCAAACATGAGACTGGTGACTTCCTTGAGAAAGACTTTGGTGACACTTGTTCTAAGGCAGTGATTTATAGATTTCCCCCTTTAAACTACTGAGAAGAAAAAAGATCCATCAGAAAACCAACCACTCTCCCCCAGAAAAACCAAAACGTTCCTTAAGTACTTTGAACATTCCCCCTCACATGAGGCTCTCTCTGCGCTGCCCGGCTCAGTAGTGGTCACCCGCCCTTAGCCTGTGCCCTTAGCCTGGGCAGGTTGCTAACTGTCCCTGTTGGTTCTTCCTCCTCAGGCTGTGCGGCACCTGGGCTGTACTCATGGTTACCCCGTGAAGCACTTAGCACAGGTGCCTGAGGGACAGTATAGCTCTCTGCCTGCCGGGCAGCATTGGCACACGAATCAGCTTTTCTTTCTCTGGAGGAGTTCAAGTAGCACTGGATTTTCTCCACCGGAGAAACTGGTGGTCGGAAGTGAATGAAGGAAGTTAGGCCATATATGGAGGCATTGTTTGGGGAAGACTACGACCTGGGTTTGGGGCTGGGCTGCACCTATGCTGAAGAAGTAGGAGCATGGTGGTAGTGAGGAGCATTTAGTTCTAGATGGTATCAGTGTGGATTGATGCTGTGAGGCCACCTATAACAAGTGGCTTGAGCCAGGCCTGGGGGCACGAGCTCAAATCAGAGCAGGACACCGGGACAAGAGAATCATGAGTTTGAGGCCAGCCTGGGGTACATAATGGATTCCAGTACATGGGTACATAGGGAGGCCCTGTTTCATAAAATTGAAAAAGGCAACTCAGGAAACTTTTGGAAGGTTGAAAAGCCCTTCCTTCCTTCCTTCCTTCCTTCCTTCCTTCCTCCCTTCCTTCCTTCCTTCCTTCCTTCCTTCCTTCCTTTTTTTTTTATAGTTTTTTTTAAAGATTTATTTATTATGTATACAGTGTTCTGCCTGCACATACACCTGCAGGCCAGCAGAGGGCATCAGATCTCATTACAGATGGTCGTGAGCCACCATGTGGTTGCTGGGAATTGAACTCAGGACCTCTGGAAGAGCAGCCAGTGCTCCTGACCACTGAGCCATTTCTCCAGCGCCCCTTTTTTCTTCTTTTAAAAAAATATTTGTGTGAGTTTGTGTGTGTGTGTGTGTGTGTGTGTGTGTGTGTGTGTGTGTGTGTGTGTGTGTGTATGTATGTATGTGTCATGTGGCTGGTGTATGGAGGTCAGAGGACAACCGTGGGAGTTGGCTCTCTCCTACCACATGGGTTCCAGGGATTAAACTCAGGTTCCCGGCCTGTCTGAAAGCCCTCTTACCTGCTGAACCATCTCACTGGCCAGGAAGGTGGAAAGCTATAAGCATAGCCCCCATCGGAATACTGTGCATGGGGCCCGCCTGTCAGTCACCTCCCATGATTGACAGCTCATTCTGTTGCCCAAAGAAGAAAGGCCACTCTCCCTTGGGACCACAGTAGGTACAATGGAAACTGATAGAGGGGTCAGACACAGCTGGGCTGAGCCCTGGTTAACCACTGCATGCCGATAGGATCTTGACCAAGTTGCGTAACTCCCTAACCTCAGGTTTCTCATCTGTAAACTCTGGGCTTGGTAAGACAAAGCTGAAAGTCGTGTCCCGCCCCCGGCAGCCACTGTAAACATGTCAGATTGCCTTCTCCCTTTGCTTCTGGTCCACCCACAAAGAATTAATAAAGTGAACGCTTGGCTGGCCGCTCAGCCTCCTTCCTCCTTGTCAACCCTGACTTTACCCTGGCCAGGTAACCATGGAGAAAAGTTCAGTAAACAAGTTCTATTTTTGTGTGTGTGATTCCTTTTTGTTTTCTGTACATTGGTGTTTTGCCTGCATGTATGTCTGATCCCCTGGAACTGGACAGTTGTGAGCTGCCATGTGGGTGCTGGGAATTGAACCTGGATCCTCTAGAAAAGCAGCCCCTGCTCTGAGCCATCTCTCCAGCCTCACAAATTCTAATACTAGCTAAGAACACCAGAATACCTCAGATTGCTTTTTGCACTAAAATGCAGAGCCCTTGTGTTCCCTCGGGCTCCTGAAACTCCAAATGGGAGGTTTAGAAGAGGACTGGGTAACCTATCTGCGTAACTGGAGTAAAGAGGAAGGAGTAGTGTTGTAGACAGCCTCCCACCTGTCCAGAGATAGAGTCCTTGCAAGCCCTGCTTACATCCTCCTCCTTTCCTGGTAGGAATATGTCAGACCACACATCTGTATCTGAGAACATGATTTCCAGGATGAAAAGATCCAATGCGGAAGGCAAACCTGGAGACCAGAGCTGCTCAGACACCCTTTCGGCATGGGAACACATCTAGCACACAGTTTTTCTTAGTTTCGGGCAAGTAGCACCAAAGGGGGTGGTGCGTGGAGTAACTAGAGTAGCCTCCTTCAGGATTTGACATTCGGATCTAGAAGTGGGCTTTGGCAGTTTTCCAGGGAGGGAACCCAGCTTCAGAACTTTGTTCCTTTCTGTGGGATGTCACTAGGCACGGGTGTAGTTTTCTGTTGCATTAGGAATATATTGTGCATGCCATTATTTGGGTCAGTGGCTCTGTTTTGGGCAGCATGGTGAAGAGCAGGGCAGGGTTTCTGCCTGCCGTCTGCCGCGCCCTTCGGTGCTCACTGGAAGCAGAGTATGGTTTGAACTTGTGTTCTAAGAAATAATTAAGTGAAACTCCCGGTGAATATTTTAAAAGTGGAAAAATGTTTGTAGAGCTAAGTCGTTATGTATACTAAACAACTTTCTTGGTTTTATTTATTTCAGGAGAACTACCCAATCCCTGAGCCAGGCCCAAATGGTAGGTCCTTGGGAAACTGACCTGACATTGTACTCACTGGTGTTGGCCTTGGAGGCATGTGCATTGACCCCTGCCCCCCCCCTTCCTACTGGTTAATGTGTTTACTCCTTTGTCCATTGGCCACAGTGGTTTATCTTGGCTACTGTATGAAGTGTAAGAATCAGTGATAGAAGGAGAAAGACCAAGAGATCAGACTGCTGAGCTGCCCTGGGTTTTTGATGTGAAGCCTGTGGACCAAAGGCAGAACCACCCCTTTTTACCTAACAATCAAGTACCCTGTCTACCAGATTAGATGCCAAATCATATTCTGGTTCTAGAAATCTACAGAATTCAATCTCATAGTTAGCAAAGGAGCATTGTGTTAGCACACCCAAGAGGGCCAGCCCAGAACTATCTACCTGTTCAGTAGGGGTGGGAGGGGCTGTGGGAAGCCCTGTCCCTTCCTTCAATCAATCAAGTACAGAAGGTGACTGAGCATGTAAGGGCAGGGCATCTAACACCTTTGCTCCACTTCTCAGCCTCTTAGTGGGGGATCCCACTGGGCGAGCTGTCATGCAGGTTTCCTGGTGGCATCCAGACCTAGGGAGGCCATGTCAACAGTTGGCTAGAGTATATTTCTTCCATTCCAAAGTCTAGTTGATAGTCTGTAGGGATCCAGGGTGAGGCTAGGGGCAATGGTCAGGGTCTTCAGTCCCTCAGATCCTTGGCTCTTCTTGATGACCTGGGATGCCCTTTCCACCCTGCCACACTTCTACCCAGAAGCACAGACTCTGGGTAGACGTCAGGTTGAAGCCAGCTTTCTTGGTAACTCCAGAGCTTTGCTACTCAAAGTTCAGCTGCATTATTGACTTATAGAGATAAGATATAAGGAACAGCTGTTTCTATCAGTGTTCAGCAAGCATTGTGAATTTAAGGCTTAACCATTTTCACGAAGATAACGTATTTAGAGAGGTGGAGGAGGTGCCTCACTGTACCCTGCCAAGGTGACTTTGGTTGCAGAGGTGGCCAAGTGAGGGCTTCCCTGGGCCATGAAGGGCCCTCTCTGGCCCCGCCCACTGTCATTCTTTCATCTTTTGCTTTAGTTGAATTGGAAGAGAGAGGTATGTTGGAAAAAGAGTGTTCCAGTAAGTTAGATATCATCTTTCTGAAAATAGTGGACTTCTATAGAGAAAGCTCAGAGTTTTTCTGATTTCAGTAATTTTTCTCTGTCTTTGATCTCAGAATTCAGCCTGCCATTCATAAGTGCTCAACCAGAGACAAAGGCAAATTCTCCAGAGCCACATCTGGGGAATTTGCTGGGGGTTTGTGGCAAGGGCGGTAGCTAAGACATCTGAGTACATAGCAGAGCTTTTGGGCCTCTTTGTCTTTGGAAGATGAAGTTTTTTTCCCCAGGGAGGTGTTCATGATGTGGTCATCTCAGTCAGACAGAGCCCAGAATCCTTTGGTACCTACTTGAGCTGAGAAGCCCAGGCATCATTGTTTTAAACTTAGACATTTGACAACAGTACTACCAGACCTCACTGGTCCAGTCCTCAAAGAGGAAGTGTGAGTTGAACTTGCAAGAGTGCTAAGTAAAGCTGAACCTTTCTAGAAAACAAGGAACATGAAGAACTTAACATGGCAGTTCATCATGCATTGGCAAGGAGAGAGATTTTCAGGATGGTAAGCGTCAGGCTCAGCATAGTGTTTGGAAACAGTTATCTCCTACAAAACAGTTTGCTCTTTAAATGGCTGATACAGTGCTTCCTCCTCAGAATATCTTGTTACAGCAGGATTGGTCAGGGCTCTCCAAACAAACAGAACAAATAAGATATGGATGTATATGTATGTGCAGATACACAGAGGTGGGGTAGGAGAAGAGGGCTGTTTATTTTATGTTGAGCAACTGGCTCCTGTGATTGAATGGTCTAGAAGGCTCTGGGTTTGCAGCGTAGGACAGCAGACTCAGGAAAAGCTTCCTGTGTTAGAGTCTTAGGAAAGTTTCTCCTTCAGAAAGTCTCAGAGGTTAAGAGCACTGACTGCTTTTCCAGAGGTCCTGAGTTCAATTCCCAGAAACCACATGGTGGCTCACAACCATCTATGATGAGATCTGGTGCCCTCTTCTGTCTGGTCTGCAGTCATACATGCTGTATAAATAAATCTAAAAAAAAAAAAAATAAATTTAAAAAAAAAAAAAAAAAAGCACTCAACAGTGAGTGGCAAAAAAAAAAAATCTCCGTCTTTGCTCACAAGGCCTTTCCTTGATTGGATGAGGCCTACCTACTTTATGGAAGATAATCTGGTCCACTTACAGTCTGTTGGTTTAAATGAACGACCCACCTTGTGAGCAACATCTGCATGGGAGTTTGACCCAGGCCAACGTGTAAACTTACCCATCACACTCGGTTCCTTTGCTCCGGCAAGCTGTCCTGCTTTCCTCGGCTCTCTGCTTCGCTTGTTTTCCTTTGTAATTCCAATGTGTACCTGACTCAGAACCCAGCTCTCTCCCCTGGCCAGAGGGAAATTGGTAGAGCTCCTGAGAGCGATGGAAGGCTTGCCTTTCCCTCACGTGTTTTCTTTGCCTCAATTCTCTAATTAGAGGTGCTACTAAAGATGCATTCTGTGGGGATCTGCGGATCAGATGTTCACTACTGGCAGCATGGCCGAATTGGAGATTTTGTTGTGAAAAAGCCAATGGTGCTTGGGCATGAAGCTTCTGGAACCGTCATAAAAGTAGGAGAGATGGTGAAACATCTAAAACCAGGTCAGTATCAATGTCAGTGTGTGCTTTCTCTGGACCAGGCCCTCTGCTAAGCACGGAGGTACAGCAGTGACCAGAGTCTTGGGTCCCTGCATGTAGGGATCTTAGCTTCTACCTCAGAGGGGACCCGGACTTGGGACAGAAAGCAGGTACTTAGTCATAATGTGTGGTAGAGAATGTGATCAACATGTCATATCTAGACCTATCTCCTTTTAAAAAGATGGAGAATGTGAAATAAATCAGAAAAAGGGGTTGAGAAAGTGTTCCTGTCATATAAGCCACGAACTGCTCCTGAATTCTAAGAATCAAGACCTTTTTTATTTTACTGTTAATTAATTATTCATGTACTTTTGAGATAGTGTCTCACTCTGTAGCCCAGACTAGCCCAGACCTTACTTTGTAATCCACATTGGCAAAGAACTCTTTATAGCCCAGGCTAACCTCTAATTCAAGGTGATCCTTTTGTCCTAGGCTCCGGAGTACTATTATTAAAGGCATGAGCATGCCTGGTTTACATCATTTCCAGATGTGAGTCTGTTTCCTCTAGGAATACTCTTTAATCGCTGAATATTCAAGGAAAGTCTGTCCCTGTTGGGAGAGAATGTGTATTCTGCATTTTGGAATTTATGGTGCACAGTCAGCTTTCCCATGATAGATCTATTCCAGCCACATACCCTAGACCCATGGTTCTCAAACTGTGGGTCATGCTTCCTTTGGGGGCTGCATATTAAATATCCTGCATATTATATATATTACATTACAATTCGTAACAGTAGCAAATTTACAGTGATGGTGTAGCAAAGAAAATAATTTTATGGTTGGGAGCCCCACAGCATGAGCAGCATTAGGAGGGTTGAGAACCACTGCCCTAGAATCTTTGAATTAGAAAGATCTTGATTTTCTTTTCAGATAGCCCAGTTGGCTTCCATCTTGCTATGTAGCCAAGGATGACCTTGAAATATTGACATTCCTGCTTCTAGTCACTTAATTTTTTATCTCAGAGAATAGTTTAGCTTTAACAAGGCGAAGCCTCACCCCCAACCTTTAAGCTGGTCAACTAACTTGTCTTTTATTCCAAAGCTTCTTTTTTTATTTTAATAGAATTTTTTTGTCCTCTAACAGTTTCATGCATATAAATAATGTATCCCTCCCACTTTTGCCACAAAATCCAGGAGTTCCCAACTTGCCCACACTTGAGTCTCTGCCTTAACACAAAACAGAGTCCACTTAGTACTGCCTGTTGGAATGTTGACTGATCTTTTGGGCTTGATCTTGTATGGATATTGTGCAGGTAACCATGGCTGCAGTAAGTTTGTGAGTACGAACAGCCATGCCAGGTTCAGAAGACAGCATTGCACAGCTCTCCTCCTCCTCTTCGGGCTCTTACATTCCCTTAACGACATCTTCCAAAATGATCCCTGAGCCTTGGAGTGTGGGGTTGATGTAGATGTCCCATTTAGGGATGAACACTCAAGAGTCAATTGTTCTTATCACTTTGACCAGTTAGGAGGCTCTGCATTAACTGCTGACTGACTACAGCAGAGACCCTTCCTGTCCAGGACTGAGGGCCGCACTGATCTATGCGTGTAAGCACAGATATTTAAAAGGTAGCTGGCAACACATCCATTTAACATGACAACAGGGGTAAGTTTCTCCCTGGGGCCTATAACATAGTCTTTGATTTTCTTATTGGATAGCTTGTCCCAGAATGCTGAGCTGCAGCAGACTACATTGTCCCCCAACACAGTGAATTAAGTCTGAATTGGCTTGGCATAGGTAGCTGTTAGCAACTTTTCTTTGCTAATGAGGCCATTGCGTGGCCTGGGAATGACTTCAGGTTAATTGGAGTAGGCTGAGGTTTGGCAAGAGGTGCTGTGAAACTGCTTAGTCTCTGAGACCAGACATAGAGAGGGATTGATAAACTTAGAAGTTAAACATGTGCATCATTTAGGAGTCTTTTAAGTCAAGGCCTCCATTTTTAATGCAAGTTGAAAAAGCCTGTGGTGATGCAGGCTTGTCCCAAAGTTGAAGGCTCTTATCTCCAGCAGCCAGCCAATGACTGATCCCTACCTGTGGGACCAGGTTCTCTAAATTCTGGCAAGTGTTTAGCGGGTGTCTACAGTGGGTTCAGACTTGGGTCAGGTACTTTGAGAAATGGAAAAAAAAATAGTGAGTCCTGAATTCATAGATCAAGTTAGGGAGACCAGACATTAAAACTGCCAACAACATCAACAATTGGAGGAAAAAAGTATCTAGTCAGAGTTCAAAGGAAGGACACTGATTGTGAGCACAGAAAGAAACTTCCTAGCTATGGGTATTTGGGCTGGATATATGACAAGATTAATTATAAAAGGAAGAAGAAAGCCTGTGTGTATTGGTTTGCTGGTCATTAAACACCAGTGCATGTAATTATTAATTATTGAGACAGCACCACAAGGTACAAATTATTAGCTTTATTAATAGATGCAGACAGTGGAATGTGGTTCTTGCCCAGGGCCACACACTGGCTAGTCTCAGAGCTGTCTGGCATGCCACCCTGTTCGATCTGGCTCAAGGACGAATGTTTAAACCAATGAGCTGCCTGTCATCTGAGATTTGAGAAAGTTTTGTTTTGCGTTAGTGAAGAGGATCAGACCAGAAAAATGACACAGGTCAAGTAATGTGTCTGGGTTCTCACACATCTATTCTCAGAGCAGGTGTCTTCCCCTGGGGAGTTGGTAGAGGTATTTAAAATGCACGGCCCCTCTTTAAAAAGACTGGGCAAATGTGAATTGCATAATGTAATAACAACTGGAAGGTAAAATGGGATAATGTTAAGTGAACTCCATCTTGAATGTCAAGTTGAATATATTGTCCTTAATGATGGGTATTGTTCTGTGAGTGGCAAAAAATGAACAGGGTGAGAACAGCTGAGGAAGAGTCAGACAAGTTGAGGGGTACATCTTAAAAGCCACTGCGTTTCTGTGGATCCTTTGTGTTTTTAGAATATAAAGCTTTTTATACATTTTTTTCAATTTAAACATTTTTATGTGTATAGGTATTTTGTCTACATGTGTGTCTGTGCACCATGTGCACTCCTGGTGCCTGTGGAGGCCAGAAGAGGGCATCAGATCCCTGGAACTGGAGGTACAGTTGGTTGTGAACCACCATGTGGGTGCTGGGAATTACACCTGGGTCCTCTAGAAGAGCAGCCAGTGCTCTTAAAACACTGAACTGTCTCTCCAGCCCCACCCCCACCCCATTTTGGCAAATATATATGAAGCAGACAACTTACTAATCTGAAGGTACTCTTCAATTTAAATGATGAGTCATGATACTCATAAAAAAGGATCTAGGAAACAGGAAATAACCAGTTGTCCACCAGTGAGAATAGTTGAGCTCTTTGTGCTGTACTCACAGGATGGAATGCCATTCAGCCACAAAAAAAAGGAATAAACAATTGATATATAACAAGTACAAACCTAAAAACACACTTAGTGAAAAAGCCGGATGCAAAGAATACACACCACGTGACCCCCATTTTTAATGCTGTATAAAGAGCGGGCTAATCCATAGTGAAGAAACTCAAAATGTCAGGTGTCTTGGGCTGCTGTGGGAGCTGACTAGGAATGGACATAGGGATGAAGTGCCTGAGGCAGCGGCACTGTCTGTATCTTGAGGGGAGTTTTCCTCATACAGGTAAAAGTGTCCATCAAACTCATCTAATGCTCCACTTAAGACTTGTGTGGCTCATTATACCTAAATTTTCATTTAAACAAAGAAGTATAAGCTATTATTGGATTCTAGTAAATGATTGACAGGCTGAAGGGTAATGGGCATTTTCAGTCTACTTAGAAATTCACTAGAAAAGATGGAGAGGCTGGGTCAGTGGCTCAGCAGTTAAGAGCACTGGCTGCTCTTCCAAAGAACCCAGGTTCAATTCCCAGCACCCACATGCAGTGCAGAACTGTCTGTAACTCCAGTCCTGGGGGATCCAGCACCCTCTGACCTCTGAGCACAGGCACACAACAGCTGACCGCTAGCTAAAGTCTAAACCAGAGGAAGCACACGCCAGGCCATGACAGCTCTTCTTGTTTTTCATTGAAAAGACTTTTCATACGGTCTATTCTGATCACAGTTTCTCCTCCCCCAATTCCTCCCATGATAACCCTTCTATTTGTAGAGGTCTTGCCTCATATTTTTACAAAGTGGAGAAAAAAATGTTTGCCCCTCTGTGTAGTGATACCCCCTTTGTAAATTGAGATAGGAGGACCTGCTGGGTTTGCCCTTTAGAGACAGGGCTGGTTGTGTGTTCCCCAGGGGAGCAAGGGCAGGCTGGCATAATAGGAAACAGGCTAAATCTCTAGGTGGAGAAGGGGGCTGGCTCTCAGCTCTCGGTGGATCTTTGCTGCATTGTCTGTCCCCTTCAGAAGCACTGAGAGCTGGGTGTGGTGGCTCCCCTCGGTGGTCTCAGCACTCAGCTGAGGCAGGAAGGTGGCTGAGAGTTGAAGGCCAGCCTGGTTTACAGAGTGAGAGTGAAGATCTCAGTGAGATAGGGTGGGAGGTGAGAGGGACAGGGAAGGGAGGGGAGGAGGAGAAGAGAGAAGGCACCAGTAGGTTGGACGTGTCTCTAAGGGTTCCCAGAGGGAACGCTCTTTAGGGATTCTCACATCTGCTGTCGGCCAGTGAGCTGGCATGCCTGTGTAGCATTTCTGCCCCCACTCTTGTTCTCAGAGGTTGGAAAGCAGAACCAGACCCAGTAGGAGTGAGGTTCTGTTCTGTTCTTAGATGTGGCACTGTCTTACTCCCCTTTCCAGGTGATCGGGTTGCCATCGAGCCCGGTGTTCCCCGAGAAACAGATGAGTTCTGCAAGATTGGCCGATACAACCTGACTCCGTCCATCTTCTTCTGTGCCACACCCCCCGATGACGGGAACCTGTGTCGGTTCTACAAGCACAGTGCTGATTTCTGCTACAAGTGAGTGTCTAAAGTGACACTGCCCCCTTGAGAGAGAGACAGAGAGAGAGAGGGGAGAGAGAGAGTGTGAGTGTGTGTGTGTGTGTGTGTGTCTGTCTGTCTGTCTGTCTCGCACTGTGTGGTTCTGGCTGGCCACAGACTCAGAGAACTGCCCACTTTGTACACTACCATGCCCAGCTCAGCACTCATTTCAAATGCAAGGCATTAAAGGCAGGCCTTCCCTTCTTGGTGGCACTGAGGGGAGCTAGCCTGCCTGGGGCTCAGTCTGACTCACAGTGGTCTTTCCGTGTATCTTCCCATTACCAGGAATAGTAATAGAAAACCATTGCCCAAATCGCTCACTTCCTCCAGCCATTCTGGAGAGAACTTGCCATACCTCACCCTTCACTCTGGTTTCCATGGCAGCCACAGAGGAAGACTATAGCTAGGTGTGGTGTCCCACCCCTTAGGTCCCAGCACTCTGGCAGCAGCGGCAGGCTTGGTCTGTGTAGGTAGTTCAGGCCAGCCAGTTACATATCGAGACCCTGTGTATGTGTGTGTATGTGTGGGGGGGGGCAGGGTAGAGAGACAGAGAGAGAGGAGAGACTAACAACAGGGGTCTCTGCATCAACCACCACCAATAACAACACCAATACCTTACAGAGTTTGACTGAGGAGCCTGAGTGTGGTCCAGGGGCATGAGTCTTGGCATGCTAGGTCCAGTCCCTCCTTGGGACTTCGTTTCTGTTAGCCAGCAAAAGACTAAATTAGGCGATGCATGAAAAGTCACTGTTATTACTCCATACATGTGCTTGTATGTAATTGGTGCTTTACGTGCCTAATGAATGATGACTAACAATGGGATGAGCACCAGTGTTGCAGTTGTGTGCCAGGCTAACTGAAGCAGAAGAAAGCTGATGAACGCAGGCACAGAGCACAGCCAGGGTGCAGACGGCCCTTCCTTTGCCTGGACCCCTCTTGGGGTGAGAAGCTACATCTGAGAGACACAGTGTCCCGCGTGGTGCACCATGGGGCCTTAGGCTGCTGGTGTGCTGTTCCCCTTCACCAGCCCAAGTGTTTTCCTTCTGTGTAGCCCAAGGCAGCTCAGCCAGTCGGGGGGCTTGTGTGACGGAGGGTAAAGGTGCCCCGCGCAGGGAGGCCAGGTCTGACAGGTCAATTGAGAGAGACGGTTTCTTGTTCTGTTTTTCCAAATTTTTGTTTGTTTGTTTATTTGCTTTTCAATACAGGGTTTCTCTGTGTAGTTTTGGTGCCTGTCCTGGAACTCACTCTGTAGACCAGGCTGGCCTCAAACTCACAGAGATCCACCTGCCTCAGCCTCCCAAGTGCTGGGATCAAAGGCGTGCGTGCCACCACCCAGCTTTAATTTTTTCACTTTTTGTCTTGGTTTCCTCCTCCTCCTCCCCCTCCCCCCCTCTTCTTTCTCTTTCTCCTTTCTCCTCCTGTTCTTCATCCTCCTCTTCTTCCTCCCTTCCCCCCTCATCCTCCTCCTTCAACAAGCTCTCACTTGTAGTCTAGGCTAGACTAATTTACTATATAGTCTAGGCCGACATTAAACACATAGTAATCCTTCTGCTTCTGCTGACCAAGTTGCTAGGTTGCCGACAGGCACCCCACAGCTGGCTAGACCTGAGATTTTCTAGTATTCCTGGCAAACTCAGAGAAGAGACATAGGCTAGAGACCTTGTGGTAATAACTGAGGCCAACCCCTGAGACTGTGCCAGAAGAAAGCAGGCTGTGTGGGTGGGGTATGCCTTTCAGCAGGGGATTCCTGAATCAGCCATCTTTTTCTGGGTCCTTTGCCAAGTAAGCCTCAAACCTCCTTTCATGGAAGGCAAGACTGAATATGAGTCTCAGCCATTTTGTTTACTGTATGACCTTGACCAAGGTCTTTAAGGTTTGAAATCCTCAATATCCTTGCCTGTAAAATGGACATCATGATAGTATCTTCCTCACCAGAATAGCCGAAGAATTCAATGAGAAGAGTGTATCAAGTGTTGCACATGGCAGGTGCTCGGTGGTGGCACTAAGGCCTCTTGTGGTCTGAGGATGGAGGTGCAGATTCAGACCTGAGAAGGGAGCCTTGGCTGGGATGGGCATGGTGGTAGTTTGTAAGATGGGGTATGGGGTGTGGTGGTGAATGATATACTGGTTATCAGTGGTCGTGGCAGATCTGAGAGGAATCTCTAGGAGCCTTGTATCTCTGTCTTTCCTCAAAGCTTCCTTCTGCCTCTTCCCAGTGTGGCTCTGCCCTAGCCTTCCTCTTTGATTGTTTCTGAGCATTCTATCCTACCACTGCCTCTGCATTTCCTACCCCACATCTTCTGGTGTTTATCTTCCTCCTTGGATTCTTGACCATCCTTTACCCTTTTATTTGTTCCCCGAGCACTGTTGTAAACCCCAAGCTGCCTGTCCTCTGGTGTTTGTAAGTCACAAAAGGCCCAGGTCCACGAAACCCATAGTCCTCCCATCCCCAGCCCTTGGTCAGTGGTAGAAAGGCCGCTCTCAGACTCCTGCTCTTCTGCCGGCCGGCATGCCTGAGCCTTGCTCTCAGCCTGGCGCGGGTGTGAGGAGGCACCATGACTGTCAGAACACCCCAACTACGGTCCCCTCACTTCTCCCTCACTCCACCCTCGTGTCTTTTTGTGTTCTTAGTCTACAGAGAGGCCAAAGAGGGAGAGAGGAGCACTCAGCTTAGAACCAGTCCTAGCTCTGTAGGGGAATGTAGAGGGGCAGGATGTTGTGTCTTGAGAGGGTGTGTTTGTGTGTGGGAAGGGAGGTGGTCCCTGAGAGTTTAGGAATCTTCCTCGTTTCATGTTTTCCCCTTAGACAGACTGTGCCATAGCATGAGCCGAGTCTGGCTTAGACTGTGGGGCATGATGGGAGAAAAGCGGAGGCCTTGCGGTTCATTCTGTAAGGTCCTAGAACAGTGACAAGAGGGTGGGGTGAGCGTGTTCATTTCTTTGGGGAACTTGTAGGTGCCCATGTTTGTGGGTGTCGCTGGGAACTAAGTAAACTCTGGATAGCGAGGAGCCAGCAGGAATAAAACAGCCCCATGGCGACTTGTGCCAAGAGGCATCTGATGTGGGCCATATGAGGGCAGTCAGGACTCCTCGGCGTGAGTCTTGCTGGGAACCAACCTTGCAAACTTGTCACTGAAGAGTGAAGGTGAAATAAAGCCTGTCCTGCCTGCCTGACAGGGTCGGATGAGATGATGGGTGGGGAAGCACTCTAGCCCGCCAAGCCTCCCGCGAACACTCACTCACCAGCGGGATTGTGGATGCGCTTGAGATGCCGGTGAGCTCAGAAGAGAAAACCAAGAACCTAGTGGTGAAGGGGCCACATTGTTAACTCAGCCTTGCGGAACAGTTCCTGCCCCATCTCAGCCAGTCCTGGGGCAGCCAGGCAGCTGCCGTCACCAGATGTGCTTCTGGAATATACGATGGGGGGGGGGGGGTAGCAGAGAGGGGCTCACACGTAAGTCACCGCTCGGCAAAGCTCTAACAGTAGGGACTGCCAGAGTGAAACCAGACGGATGTGCTGAAAAGTCCAGAGGCTGAAATGCCAGAGTGTGGTTACATTAAGCGTTTGTTGAATAAGCTTTCATTGGTTCATGACAGCCATACTATACCTTAGCTTGGCAGGCATGTTAGAAGAACACATAGTGTGGATCAGTATTTATGTGCAGGTATGGGGTTCAGTGCCCAGCACTGGAAAAAAAAAAAATCACCAGAAACCATGATGTTGTCACTGAACTCTGAAGGGATTTTGCCAAAGAAAATGACTTTCCTGGGGCAGAATGGCATGGCCTTTGGAAGCAAACATATCTGGCTTCTACTTCAAACCCTTTGAGCCCTCGCCTTGAACTTCTGAGATGAGCCATTTAACTCTGGCAGCCCGATTTCTTTCTCAGTAGACTTGGGGTAAGCAGCTACTGCTGAACTGTTCTGACAGTGTTGTGAGCAAATGCATGCCAAGTGCTTAGCACATTGCTGTACGCATTAGTCAGTGCTCAAGTGTTAGCTGTTGTCGTGGTGGCCTTAGGCAAATGCAGTGTAATACCAGTGATAGGGTTATAGTATTAATACTGTGCTGTGGTTATGTAGTGTTAATAGCATCATCAGTACCTCAGTAAAGTCAGAGATCCTAATTGTGTATGTTGGATTACTTCTCAGGCTTCCTGACAATGTCACCTTTGAAGAAGGGGCCCTGATTGAGCCTCTCTCTGTGGGGATCTATGCCTGCCGTCGAGGTTCAGTTTCTCTGGGGAATAAGGTCCTTGTGTGTGGAGCTGGTAAGAAACAGAGCCCCTGGCTGTGGGTTCACAGGCTGGGCATGTGGAAATTCCCATCTCGTTCCTTCTCCAGGAGCTGGGTCTGATTCTAGACACTTTCTGGGTAGGAGAGGGTTACAGTGTCTCATTCAGAGATCAGCACTTGGCTAAATAGATAAAATGTCTGAGGTGGATGTAGTGGCACACATCTGTATCTCTGTACCAGGAGGCTGAGACAGGAGAATTTCCGTGTATTCCAGGCCAGTCTTGTGTATACAGTGAGACTCTATTTCAAAAAGCCCAAAGAGACAGATAAGTAAATAAAATGTCTGCAAGCACAGTAGTAACTAACAGATCTCACAGGGACTATAACCCTCTGTCCATTTAAATAATAAATAAATCTTGCAATAAATTTTGAACCCTTGATAAAACTAGGGTAATATTTGGGTTAGTAAAGTAAAGAGTAACTTTTGGAACTTGTAAGTCACACTCAAGAAATGATAGTCTTGCCTCCTAGGCAAAGGAAGTAGGTGGGCTCTGTTCACAGGAGGAGGGAGTCCAGCCACTGACTAGGGGTCCCAGCTTCCTGTCTTCTCCCATCTCCTGCTTCTGGCCACTTGGAACAAACCCCAGAGGCCTCAGACCAAATCATTCTGGGTTTTTAATTGCTAGTAACCCAGACAACAGGCACATGCACAGATATTCACTCACAGCCCATTACTCATGAGCCCGAGAGAACCACTGTTAATATTTTGGCGCAGAATCGGTTAGCTTTAGTTTTGTGGTTTGTTTGGCTTGTTTTGGGCCAAGGTCTCTCTGGGTAGCCAGATTGGCTTCTAACTCGGGGAGCTCCTGCTGCCTAAATGCTGGAATAGCAGGCGTGTGCCGTCATCCCTGGCTAGGAGGTCTTTTGTGTAACTTAAGACTTAAAAACAGAGTCTTGCTAAACTTACAATCCTGCCTCAGCCTCCCGAGTGCTGGGGTTACAGGCTTTATGCCATGGAGTAGTACACCCCCTTAAAAACAAAAACAGAAAACCTGGGATATGGAGATGGTTCAGCTGGTAAAGGCACCCACCACCAAATCTGATGACCTAAGCTCAATTCTTGGTCAAGAATTGAAGAAAGGAAAGAACTGAATTCTGCAAGTTGTCTTCTGACTTCCACACATGTACCATGATACATGAACATGCTTGCACACATGTATATGTGCACACTATAGTAAATGAATGCAATAAGAAAGTCATGATTCTGTAAACATTTTTTTGTGTCAATGGCTGCAGCCCTATTTGTAGTATATGTAACTAGTCACTCACTTTGGACATTTCAGGTGTTGTTTTCCAGTGTGTTGCTTTCTAGGGGAAACACATGACGCTGCTTTCAAGGGAGTGCAGCAAGAAAGCAAACTAAGTATTCCCCTTGTCTCATTCTGTGGGACTTTGTTTTATAGCAAATCCACAGTGCCAGTTAGCAAGCAAAGACCGTGGAAGTGGGTGGGTCAACCCAGGGACCCACCTCACGAAAGAGGAATGCTCGGGGTGTCAGGGAAGAATGTGACTCTCCCTGGGGAGGGGTGGTGTATTCTCCTGAAGTCAGGTCAGGGAAACACGTCCAGATCTTCTGATTCATAGTTTCTGGCTCTTTGAGATTCTCTCCAGCAGAGCCTAAGAGAAAGGAAAGGGTTTCTAGCTCTGAGGTGTGAGGGACCAAGCAGAACTTACTGCTAGGAATGTGTTTCATAAAAAGAACAAGCCTTCATCCACTTGTTCACATTGGCATTCACAAACAGCTTTACAAATCTTATTGTGTGCCAGGCACTTGGATAGACACTAGCAGTGCACACATGCATGCATGCACGCACGCACACACAACACCTAGTCCCTGTCCAGGGCTCAGGCGGGGGGAAAGTTGATGTTTGGTAACATGCAGTCTCCATTCTCTGCCTTGTCTAGGGCCCGTTGGGATAGTCACTTTGCTTGTGGCCAAAGCAATGGGAGCTGCCCAGGTGTTGGTGACTGGTAAGAGGGGTCTCTTTCAAGCTTGGCACGCTCGTTTCCTTCCTCCCAGCCCCACCTCTTAGAGGTTGTACCACCTCAGAACTCCACACTGGAGGCCAAACCTTTGTGTGAACCTTTAGGGACGAGCCACCACACTTCCTGAAGTACTGGTGTCTGGAGAGCTGCTACCTCCTGTCCCCTGGGTTCTAGAGCTGGAAGCCTGTCCAGGGATGACCAACTCAGGGCTGAGGAGAAATCTCTTTTGTGAGAGAAGATGGCTGCTGTGGAGAGGAGAATGTGGTGGCTCTTTATGTATGGGCCTCACACTACCCTCTTAGTGCTAAGAGGAGGCTCAGCCTTTGGTCTGTCTGACTTAATTTAGAAGGCAAAGATGGTGTGTGTGTGTGTGTGTGTGTGTGTGTGTGTGTGTGTGTGTGTGTGTGTGTGTGTGTAGTTGTGTACATAGCTATGTAGACTTGTGTAGTGTGTGTGAGGTTGTGTAGGGTATTTTGCATAAGGAAAGGGTATCTGCATGAGTGTACCCGTGCAGCACGTAGCGGACAACGTGTGAGGGTGTGGGGTGTGCTGAGCTCAGCAGTTCCACCCCTTGCACCGGAGACTGCTGCGTCAGATCTGTACCTCCATTTTCCTTTCTTCCTAGTCAGTTGTCCAGCTTTTGTATTTAAAGTAACTTATGCTTCCTTTTAGACCTATCTTCCTCTCGGTTGGCCAAAGCCAAGGAAGTTGGAGCTGATTTCACCCTCCAGGTTGCCAAAGAGTCTCCTCTGGAAGTTGCCAGTAGAGTGGAAAGTATGCTAGGGGGCAAGCCGGAAGTCACTATAGAGTGCACAGGAGCAGAATCCTCCATCCAGACGGGCATCTATGTGAGTGAGCTGAGGGCGGCTCACTGGCCTGCAGCTTGGGGGCAGGGGTGGTACAGAGTGGTAAGGAGAGCAGCGGTAAGGAGGTCTACCATCAAGCTCCGTCAGGCTGCTGTGTGACCCCCAAACAGCTAACCCCTCAGCACTTTGTTTTCTTACCTTTTGTGTGGAGTTGCCTTGAGCCCTGATTGAGTCATAAGGGGTTCAAACGTGAAAAGCAGACATGCATGCCCCTTCAGCATGGGGTTGCCTTTAGCATTGCGCCAGTACCTGTAAAGCAGTGCTCTTGACGAAACCATCAGCAGGACAAACGGAATCGTGCCTTAGTAGAGTAGGAGATTCCTATATTGTTTTATTGAGGAAAACTAGTCTTTGAGTCATTGATACTAAACAAGAGCTAGTAATTCAGTTAGTCACCAAGGTGAGGTGAATTTTCAAGGCCAAAGCTGGTGCATGGGGTGCTGTCTTCCCGAAGTAGGAACAGATAAGCTGCCCAGGCCTGATTCACCCTACAAGGTTTCACCCCTCCAGCAACTTATGGGAAACAGAGGGAGTTGGTGGGGAGGGTGTGGCTTTGACAGAGCAAAGTACAAGGAAAAGAGGAAACACAAGCCCTCCTTTGTGCCAGGCCTCTGCTGGGCACTCTGTAGGCATGGTGCCTCTGCACCTTACTTCTGAATTCAGTTAACACTTTACACTGAGAGAGTGTTGGGAACTTGCTTCCAATTCCTCGGGTTATGAGTCTGGATCAAGAGTCAGTCCTAGCCCTGCCAAGCCCCATTACTTAAGCCTTACCCACAGGCTGGGAAGGATTGAACAAACATCTGTACCAGGATGGGAGGGCCTGAGCTGGGAGGAGCTCCTGCCTCTGCCTCCTAGACTGCTTCCCCACAGGGCCATGGGCTTCTCCTTCCCTTCTGAGTCATAGCTAGTTCAGGCCCAGGGCACTTTGCAGCACATGAGATATTCCAGGAAGGAATATCTCTACCTATGGTACGCCCTCAGGCCTGGGACTCTTGCAGAGATGTCCGCTTCCTCCTGTCAAGGTGCTTAGTGTCACAGAGGGCAAGGAGGTGGCAGGAGGGATGAGCAAGTGCCACTTGGTCCTGTCCTGACTCTCTGCTAGAGTCAGCCGGCCTTCTGTTCCACTGTCATAGGCAATGGTCTCCATATGGGGAGGGGCAAATCGTACCCCAGACTCACAGTGTGTCTTGGGTACCTCCTGGGTGCCAGGCTTTGTGTTAGAGACATTGCAGGGTATGATGGGTATGTCTACTATCTTCAGGTGGTTAGCTGGTCAGTAATACCACACCACAGAGAGGCAATGAGACTTAATGGCTGTGACTGTCCTTCTCTTCTGCACTGATATTTGGGAACAGATGTCGCCCCCAGTAGTTGGTAGCGTAGGCCAGTTGCCATGCTCCCTGAAGATGGTATAGAGGTGAATGTGATCTGAGGTACTCCCTAGGTAGAAGCGATGTCTCTCCTCCATGGTTATGGAGCCATCATGCGTAACAGGGACTGTAGGAGGTCCCTGGCTCATTGGCCACACTGCCAGTGAGCACAGCAGGCAGTGGCACCGAATCTGGACACCGCTGAGCGTCACCTTCCTGTCTGGGAGGTGACTGCGTGCTGTTTGTGTGACGTGGTAAATGTCCTTGTGTAGAACTGATGGTGTCTCTTGGTATATTGACCACACCCAGAGTAGTCAAGTAATTCCTTGACCTATGGCCTAAGGTATTTCAAGGCATTCCTTTAGCCAGCAGGTTCTTCCTCATTGTCAGGAGGGCAACTCCTAAGGGGGAAATCATTTTCCTGGGAAAGTTGTGAATCAAGAGTTTATTGTGACTCAACTCACAGCTTTGACTTCTCGCCCATCTCCAGTGGGGACAGCGATGCTTTTTCCATTACACACGTATTCCTGGGTACTTTGTAAGTGATTCTGCACTTCAGTGAAAGCGTGAAACAGCTGAACGTTGAGTGCACACTAGACCCAAGCATTGGGATGTTACCCATGAGGTGCTAGCTGAAAGGCCAAGTCCAGGGTGGGCTGCTCAGAGGTCTGAACACCGGGAGTCACCTCACAGTGCTGCAGGCTGGAGTACACCTCTCATCTGGGCACTGCAGGCCTCTCTCCGTGACATTTCTCACCCCTCCCCCCAGAAGGGCTGGCCGTGTGTCTTCCTGTAGCTCTTGTTTGTACCTCTCAGAACGGCCCTGGGGTAAGTGCTGCTGCCATGTCTGACTATCATAGAAGTTTTGCAGGACAGAATTGCCCATTCTCCTGCTTCTCCCAGCAGGGAACACAGGGTACCACAGGGCCAGCATTGTACTTACACAAGGTTGCATGGACATTGCCAGGAGATAGTCTCCCTCCTCTACCATGCTTCCAGAAGGGAGTGATTCGCTGGAGTCTGTTTCTTGACATTAGCAAAGCACTGGATTTCCAGACAAATATTTAAGGACGACAGATCCATTATGCCCAGTACCGTTGAGGTGAAGAACGAAATGGTTCCTGCCTGCCTTCGTGGGGAAGCTGTTTTTAAACCACAGAATCCACAGCCTGTCTGCGGCAGCTGCAGTGTTCTCACTACTGATGAGCTCAGAGGGGGTTCCTTATTTATTTTCATTTTGAGTTTTTGAATTGTGGGATCTCATTCTGTAGCCCTGACTGACTTGGCCCTCACTCTGTAGCCCACACTGGTCTTGAACTCTCAGCAACCCCCCTGCATTAGCCCCTGCATGCTGCCATTACGGGTGTGTGCCATCATGCCCAGCCGATACTGACTGTTCCCGGTGTCTCTGGTTCTTCTTTAGTCACCCTTACACTTCTGGGTGCCCTGTTGGGTTTGGGTGGCATGTTGACGAGTTTGATAGTGGAGCCAGAATCCCACCCTCTGGACCTCCTGTGGATCCTGACTTTCCTTGTTCTTGTTTCTTCCTTAGGCCACACACTCTGGTGGGACCTTGGTGATTGTGGGAATGGGCTCTGAGATGGTCAATTTACCCCTAATGCATGCATCTGTGCGGGAGGTGGATATCAAGGGCGTGTTTCGATACTGCAACACGTGAGTATGCTGAGGGTGAGCCAAGGTGATCAACAGCCAGCATGGCCTAGGCAGGTCCTCTGCAGCCTCTGAGACCAGGAGTCTCTGCATGTTTATTCATGAGGGGCACTCCCTGACCACACTGCCAACATATGATATGATAGGGCTGCTAAGAGAGAACATGTACTTATTCCTCAGAGGGAGGAACAGACAGGGAGGGGGATTTTGGATCTGCCACTCATCACCCAATCTCTCCCCCTTTCATTTCCTTAAGTAGCCAGACTTCCCTTCCTCCCTTTTAAAGGGAATAAGGAGTCTGTCCTGGGGGAGAGCCGCTTTTCACCCACCCACCCCATGAGCCTACTGCTCCCCACTGTATGCAGCAAAGATGCTCTCTCTGGAGCATAGTGATGCCTCTTACTCCCAGCTTATAGTTCCATGGCCTCAGCAGAGCACCCACTTTGCATTAAACTTTGCCAAGCTGGGCTGCTAATCTGTGCAAACTGGTTATCCTGACCTTTCCCAGGCTGCTTCCCTGACGTTCCTGCCTTTTCACGCTGGCCTCTGCAGTATAACTCAGTCCTTCGCGCCAGCGAACCTCAAGGTTCCATGGCACAGACTGCAAAGCCAGGGGATGGAGGCTTGGCTAGGGCGACTGAGAACAGCCTCTGTACCTGCAGATTACAGCTGCAGGCCCTCCTCACTCTGTAAAGTTGACCTTGCAGAAGGGCCATCTAGAGATAAACATGGCCAAGCAGTTTCTGGGACCTGGGCGTATCCCCTGAAGGTTAACGAAATGCTTATGATCTCTTACAGGTGGCCAATGGCGATTTCCATGCTTGCATCGAAGGCCTTGAATGTGAAGCCTTTAGTTACCCATCGATTTCCTCTGGAGAAGGCTGTAGAAGCCTTTGAAACCTCCAAAAAGGGATTGGGGCTGAAAGTTATGATCAAGTGTGACCCCAATGACCAGAACCCCTAATGTGAATTCATCTGTGCCCTCAGCCTACCCTCTCAGCATCTAAGGGCTAATGGCTGGGAAGGGGAGGCCCTGGATGCAGAACTTTCTTTTGAATGGTAAAAATAATTAACTCATAATAAGCAGAGAGCCTTAGGGGAGTTGGTGTGCCTTAAAGACAGAGGTAGGGGCACTCTGAGGGACTTTGTAGCCAGAATGAGATGCTTGTATTGAGGAAAGTCTAGTAGAGAGAGCAGAGTTTGGCAGTGCTGGGAGCTTCCCTCTTCCTCTGGTACCTTCTTTGGTGAGGACATAAACCCCCTGAAGTCTGAGTTCCACTGTGATGGCCAGGGGGTGGGGCTGACTCAGGAAGAAAGGACTTCGTTAAGATGGAAGTGGCCCCATAGCTGATCCTTTGGTCTGGATGAATGGTTGTCATCTGTTGTAGTTCAGAGAATGGTGTTTGTCAAGCCAAGCTTCATTTGGTTTGATGATAAAAGGGGAATAAGAAATGGAACTCGCCTTCTGGATCCAGGATAAAAACCAATCAAAAGAACGAAGCAAATCCCGTATGAAGTGCATTAGCTTACATTCCCCAAATGTGGGAGTAAGGGCACTCACCTCTGTCCAAGGACCACCTCTTCCTCAATGCCTAAGAATTCAGTCATTACATTTGTAAAGTGGAAGACCACCTTCCCAACACTGCTGTTCACAGTAAGGAGCAATGCCAGTTGCTAGGCAACCAGGAGCCTTCCACCTGAAGATCTTAAATCCTGCCTAATTGGTACTAGAAGGCTTGTGTTCCCATGCTCACTCACAGGCAATTGTTACCCCATTCCACTCAGTTCTGGCTATCTGAAAATGTCCCCTTCTCATAGCTGGGTAAGGCTGGTGGCGTCTGTTGGGTGGACACCACAGAATTTTTCATCCCAGGGCTTTTCTATATAAGATTTGGGTTCAAATCACACCCTTTGTGATCTTAAAATAATTAAGAGTAACAGTGATGTAACTTGGGCTACAGACTTTAACCCACCTCTTCGGCTGCGGGTAGAGAATGGCTGAAAAGAATCTGCTGGAGAAGATCGTGGCCAATAACTGAGCTTTGCAAAATAAATTCTGTCGCTGGTGTCGGACTCCTGCTGTGGTTGATGCTTGTTTAGGGAGCAGACTTAGGCTGCCTGGTTCACACAAGGAAGGATCACAAAGCCTTAGCAGGGTACATTTTCTGTACTAAATATCATCTGAGTATCTTGCAGGTAGAGAAAGTAATTCAGGCAAAAGTAGCATAACCCGTTTCTTCTCTTTCCCCCATGCAGGAGGCACGTTACAAGACTTCTGTCCACACACTCTCAGCAGCTTCGCACCCCACTGGCTTGCTCTCCCTTCTCTCTGTCCTATTCAGTTAGCACCAGAATTGTTACTCGTCTTCTGTGAAGACTCCTTCCAGCAGGGGACGCCCAGAGTTCCTCTAGTAGGAACGAGAAAAGCCCCTCCTCACCTTGGAAGACCTCTCAGATGCCTCAGGCAGGGACAGGTTTCTCTGTTAAATTTACAATTAACCAGTTTTCTTGTGGTTGTGTCCCAGTGAAAGGGGGACCACTGAAAGGATTTGGGAGCCACAGAAAGGACAGGCAGACAGGTAGAGCCATGGAGAACAAAGATGTGTCACTTCGCCTAAAATTACACTTGCGGTAGGTCTTCGGAGCTGGTCTTGGCCCTTGCGTTTTCTGGCTTCACTTGGGCTTTATGATGCCCGTAGAACTGTGAAGAGTGGGTGGCTGATCATGACCGGGTAATTCAGAAGTGACATGGTGGTACTTGCCTGTGGTTCCAGCACTTGAAGTTCTGAGGTAGGATCATGTTTAAGGCCAGCCTAGATTACACAGAGTGTGTTTTAAACAAAAGCAACAAAACCCCAAGATAGCAGCTCAGACGATCCTTCCTATGTTCATGTCCACCCCTCAGCTCTCAAGCTATGGCTTGCCACATGCATGCCAGGAGCAGAGAGGCTGGGGTGGGCTGTTCAGTGAGACACAGGCATGGTGAAGCATCACTGACTTGTCTGGGGTTTCCTTCTACATCTTTATCCAGAGGCTCCTAAGAGGCTGCAGGAAGATGGGAATTCATTCCCCCCACCTCCACAGGTACTCATTGTTGACTATCTCAGTGAATCAGTCCTGGAACCAAGAATCTGAATTTCCCCTGAAGCTCCCCAGCATTGGAAGGCCCAGCGGCTTCTGTGTGCTCTCGCCAGGTAGGGCCTACATTCAGTCAACATGGAGGACCCCACCCAGCTGGCACTCCCAGTCCTGGGGTAGGTGGAGTGGAGTTAGGAATAGCTGAGAAGGGGACCCTGCAGGTGACCCTAACCCAGAGAGGGGAAGGCAGCTGTAGCACACACACACACACACACACACACACCCCTCGGAGGCTGGCAGGCCTGCTCCAGCCACTCCCCTCCTGCCTATCTCTTCCCAGCCTCTCTTGTACAGCACAGTCTTGCTTCTTCTTTTGCATAAAGGAGGTGTGCTGGGATAGTGAAGCCAGAGGTCAAGAGCAGGGGAAACATACAGGATGTGTTGACATTCGCCTTTTCCTCAGAACTGTCTCTGTTTTCATGATGTCAGCCTAGGCTCAAAGTTCAGAAACCAAGACAGGGAAGCAACGCTCGGGAAGGCAGCTAGGACAGAGGCTGTGCCCAGCTACAGATGACGAGGCCCAGTCAGGGCTACACCCCTGGTGGGGGCTACACCTGGGGTGGCAGACAGCTCTCTGGCCCTGCACATGCCAACTCCACAGGCCAAGGGAGGAACAGGGTCTGGAAAGGGGCTGCAGCCTTGTGGGAACACATCTGGTGGGGTATGCTCCCCAGACACCAGAGGATGCTTCCCCGCACAGCTGTTGCTATAGTGGAGGTGCCCAGCCCCACCCCAGCCCACCCCCACCTCTGCCTTCACAGCCCCTGCCCCTCACTCTCAGCTTTAAAAGCCCTAGCTGAAGCAGACACTGAGTTCTTTGCCTGGCTGGCACCTGATAGTGGGCAAGGATGTAGTTGGTGTTAGCACCGTGAGACTTCTTGGTGAAGCCTCCAACCAGAAGAAAGGCTTGTTTCTTGGATTCATGCAGCCTCCGAGAGGGTTTGTTATAGGGCTGATAGGGATGTCTAAATCCTGGGCCTGCCACCAGTCACTATGACACCAAGTCACTTCCGTTTCCAGTCAGCCTCCACGTCCTCCTTTGCTATCTGAAGGGTCTTTCTGGACAATCTTGAGGTTCCCCTCATGCACTGATACATTGTTTCCTGGGGAGAAAGACCCCCTGGGAAGTATCTCTCACAATTAACTGTAAGGGGCTTTCTCCAGTTTTAGTTCAGGTCCTGGGTGAAGGGGTGGCTTGAGGGACAGAGGATGGCCCAGGCTGGTCGGGGGGGAGGGACTTTATGTGGAAATACCTGCATTATGGATATCACCTTGCTCTGTGGCTCAGGCTTGCAGTGTGATCCTAAGGGGTTTGCAGAAGCCCAGAGATGGGTGCAGACAGGTTGGGCTCATCACTGCCCTGTTGTGGTCAGTGACTGGTCTTCCAGTACTTCACATAAAGCTGAAGGCAGAGGCACAACCTAGAAAGGGTAAGGGTACATCAATCCACTCATTGTCGGGGGGACTATGGGGGGAAGATGGGCCTTTTGGGGGTAGTGAATCCAGAATCCCTGAGGCATGGTGGAAGTATACCTCCCATGGGTCAGCCCCTGCAGGCTTCTGTGGGTGATACTGAAACCCCGTGAGTCCTGCCTAATCCTACAGGCTCATGCTTACTGGACCCACAAGCTACCAATCCACAGGAGCCTCTTGGCACCCAGGGCCTCACTTGTGGGCCTCTTCACAGTTCTGGAAAAATCCCTCTCCACCTTACTTTTGGAGACCCCACCTCTCACTGTCCCTGGAGCTTGTGGTTTGACTAGGCTGGCCGGCCAGCAGACTCCAGGGATCCGCCTTACCGTCATCTCCCCAGCTTTAGATTACAGAGCCTCCCGGCTCCACTCAGCCTTGAACATGTATGCTCGATCTAGAACTACTCAGGTCCTCATGCCTACATGGCAAGCATTTTATCAACTGAGCCATCTCCACAGCCTGTGTACACACATTGACACTGAAACTAGGAAACCTTTTGGGTTCCAGGTTATGAACAATGTGAGCGGAAGCCCCCAGGGGCTGCCGAGGGTGGGGCCGTAGTGTCACTGGCTCACTGACTTCAGATCATTTGGGGAGATGGAGGCTTGATCCTCTAGCGTTCAAAACTTGAACATGTCGCTATGTCTCCAGGCCTGATTCCATATTGTTAAAAGCAGTCATCCCTTCCAGGGATGTGGCAACAGTTCCTGCAGGGGCCGGCGTGAAGTTATAGGGAAAGTGTCTCAGTCACTGTGGAGCGGTGGACCACCATCAGTGAACCTGTACAGAAGCTTCCCCACACCCCATGCCCTCAATGGCAAGACAGAGTACCTAACCAAACCTTACTAGGTCCCTGGGAAGAATTAAGGGCCATACACGTAACATTTCGTTTTGCTGTTCTGTCCTCTCTTTAGTAGGTATATAACTGTGTGTTATGGAATTAACTGGATTAGGTATTAGGTTGCTGATCTTTGGATTATTGAAAGACTTGACAACTTAAGACTTTTAAGGAAGTTTCTGAGTAATTCAAATAGGATGGCCATGTTTCTCTTTATTCTCTTACCACGTAAGTATACTGAATGCTATGTTTATCTGGCCTAACAGTATACATTTCAAGTACTATTTATTCCCATGAATATCAAAGTGAAACATGTCCCTTGTCACACACTACATGGCACAGGACAGGACTACTAGCCCCCAAGACATCAAGAGTTATTGATTCTTCTGGGACTGGCAAGGCAGTTGAGTGGGTAGAGATGCCTTCCACCAAGCCTTATGACCTGAGTTCAACTTCTAGGAATCACACTATAAAGGGAGAGAACTTATGAGCTTACTCCGAAAAGTTGTCTTCTGATTTCCATCACGTACACACAGACACACACACAAAAGAAAAGAAAAAAGATTGATTCTCAGGAACTTAATGGGGGAGCTATTATCAGAAAATCAAGAGGTCAACATGTGATCTGAGAGGGAGTGAATGAGGAAAAAACTGAAGACAAGGAACTGTTAATCCAGGGCAGAGGGAAGCAGTGACTCAGTGCTGCACGCCCGGTGGCGGCGGCCCGACTTTCAGTCCAACACCGAGGAGACCAGCAGGTTCCAGCCAGAGCTTCCCGGGACCCATACCATGCTGGCTCCCCTGTGCTAAACTCCCACATCCTACGTCTCTGCCACCTTGCCTATACATTGTCATGGACTGAGTCAGAATTGAGGAAAAGCTGCCATGCACTTGAAAGGGGCGGTAAAGGACAAGGCTGGTAGAATGACTGGGGAGCCATAAAGTACGGACAGGTGGGTTCATGCTGGGCTACGACACAAGCAACTCATTTGACTTCTCCCAGCCTCAGGTCCCTTCAAATAGGAAAGTCATACCTACCTCAGGGTTGTCGTACGGTCAGATGAAGTCATTTTGAAGTTCTTAGCATGTCACTATGATTGTGTTTACTGAGTGTCCATGTCCTGTCCTTGTTTCACCTTGCCTGTTCAACACCAGGGTGAGTGATCCCCCGTGGTAAAGAACAGGGTGAGTGATCCCCCACGTGAAAGAACAGGGTGAGTGATCCCCCGTGATAAAGAACAGGGTGAATGATCCCCCATCTGAAAGAACTGGGTGAGTGATCCCCCACGTGAAAGGACAGGGTGAGTGATCCCCCGTGATAAAGAACAGGGTGAGTGATCCCCCATCTGAAAGAACAGGGTGAGTGATCCCCCGTGATAAAGAACAGGGTGAGTGATCCCCCGTGATAAAGAACAGGGTGAGTGATCCCCCATGTTAAAGGACAGGGTGAGTGATCCCCCAAGATTTTTCCAGCTCTGAGCCCCTGACTGCCTAGATGTTTGAAGGTGTCTGAGAACTCCCGAAGGTGGTAGGAAAGGCATGGCTAAGACCCAGCATTCTTGGACCCTTCAGAGAGATGGCTTAGTGGTTAAAGGCACTAACTGCTCTTTCAGAGGACCTGGGT